TTATAGATGTTCATACTAATTAAATGTGCAGCTAAAAAGAGTTTAGTTTCAAAATGTAAAAAAAATTTATTTCGAGCCTTCCATACTAAATAATTAAGGCCAAACTCACCTACATGTACTTTCGCTGCAATGTCCGGGTTGACACTCCAACCTTGCTAAACCCATACATAGGCTTGCAAATCTTAGCACATATTCGATGTGAACCGTGCTGATTATTATGCATAGCACCAAAAATAAATGTCTAAGCTCCACGTGATTTTTCAGTACAACAATTATTACCTGAACTTCTCAGTTTACCACATAGGAAGAAACAAAGTGAACACATCTACCTAAACACCAAACCGAAAACGGTGCACTCTCTAAAATAAGTGAAAGCGTACGATAAATGGATTAGAGAAAAATATGGAATTAGGGCATTCCGCTGCCATCTGACATGAGTGGGGTTAAGATTACAAGGTTCTGCGACGATTTTCAGTTCACGGCTATGGATCTGCTTCTTTAAAAATATTGCTGAACTTGAAGCACGGCTGGAGATACAATGTCATATCACCATTAACAAAAACTAATGAGGAGCAATCAGGTGTTCAGAGTTTTCAAGTTTTCATATTTATCAAAAAACTTGAGTGAAACCTACGATTTATAGAAAGTCGACTACGGAAAAGGAAACCGTGGATTCCACACTTCCGTCGGGCACGGGACCATAGTAGCAAATAAGTAAATAGAACGACGGCATTCTGATTTTTTAGACAATGAAACAAAGTTTAGGTTGGCTAGTTTCCTCTAAAAATAACGTGTCCCAATATGCGACTTAACTGGACAGCTACCAGTTGGTTGAAATGAAGTGTCGTCAACTACCAAAAACAGTGTGCTCAGTCTTTCCAGCACCAATAATATATTATTATTCAAAAACACGCTATACCCTAGACGATTTCCAACACAACAAAGTGTCTGCCTATATGCAGTGTTATAAGCATCTTATATTTAGTTGGTAACCCATTGCATGCTAGCCCAAACATAGAATTTCCATCGACCTTTTGCCATCTCCATGAGAAATCGTACTTCTTTTACTACACAGACTATTCACTGATCTCCCTCCTAGAAGGATCTCTTGCCGGCTAGTCGCTAGGCAACGTCGCGCTTCGCCAGGTGGCGCATAGGAGGTTAGTCGCGGGCCAAAAGCGACCTTTGATTTCCTGAGGAGCAGGTGGAACCAGAGGATGAACTCCCTTTTTCTACTGCGTCTCTTTGGCACAAGCATTCCGTATTTACGAAGACGTATTCATGCATCAACATCGACTCATTCGAACAACTAACAACCCTAATCAGACGATTACGACTGAAGAGAAGTGGTTCAACAGGCTCAACACCGGCTCTGACAACCACCGTCGTTTACGCACCGACATCAGGCTATGACGAAGAAGAAGTCGAAACGTTCTATATGGACCCGGAGAAGTTCTACAGAAAAGACCATACAATCTTCAAGGTCATAACTGCAGAATTTAACGCTAAGAATGAACCAGGGAGAACGTCACATTGGGACCCACGGATTAAAATGGAACGAACAGGGTGAGTGGCTATCTGAGTTTGTCATGGTGACCAAGACAATCCATGGTAACTCGCAATTCCAGAAGCCCCACCCTCAACGCTGAACGTGTGAGTCTCCTAATGGAGAGAACCAAAACGAGATAGACCACATCATAGTAAATAGAAGGTTTTGCCTAACCGATGTCGCTGTTGTCCCAAATCCTACACAGGATCAGACAATCGCCTCCTTTGTGCAAGATTTCAGCTTCCGAAAAAAGAAGGGAAAGAAGCTATGTTCAAAAAATGAATTCCCAAAGTCACCATAAACTGGGACTTATTCAGCACATTAGACAGCTGTTGGTAACATGCCGTTCTCGATAACATCAACTAGGAATACGGTCGGCTGATTCAAAATACTCACGTTAGCGCTATGAAAGCTGAGAGTGTGCCTATCAATAAGAGAAATCTGTTACCAAAAACACTTGGGCTGACACGGTGTTTCTTTGTTGACTTTGAGAAGACTTGTGGTAGGACTGATCCTCCACTAAAAATCACAGAAATGATGTTCGTGAGCAACGGATTGGTTTGCTATGCCCCATTCACATTCAACGGAATGAATATCTCCGAATGCTCCAGCTAAGTCTACTTTTGTTGCAAATCAACGTGATGAACGACTTAGCTCTAGAGTTGAGCAGGTGGAAACGAGTGGCTTAGGCAGCTTTAAAGAGCATAGAGGGTGCAGTGAAGAGAACAAAGAACACTCGACTCCATGCCCACCTTTTCGACTCCGTGATACTTCTTGCCTTAACGTATGCGTCAGAAACCTGGTTGCTACATGAGCAGTATGAAAGGTCACTCAGAGCTGTTGAAAGCGCAGTCGAAAAGACGATGCTAAGAGTATCCCGTGCTACAAAAGTGAGGGAAGGAATTCGAAGATACGACTTGCGTCAGCAGTCAAAAATCAAAGATGCCGTTCTATCCACCAAACTGTCAAAGTTAAGGAGGACCAGGACAGCAATGTGTACGAACGACATCTAATGCACATGAGTCGTTAGTAAATGGATTCCTAGGGATGTCAAAGGTGATGCAGAAAGACCACCGACCCGATGTTCAGAGTTCTTCACGAAAAGTCTGGGAGAAAGGTATGATGATCAACAAAGACCTAAGACTAGTAGAGCACACTTGGCTAATCTTGCACGTACGTAACACAAAAAGGCAAAATATTTACTAGCACCCACTCGAACCACCCGACGATCAGCGAGACGATTTCGAAACGCTTTCCCATCGGCTTTATCACATGTAGTCATGTTGGTCGAGTGACTCTAGCGGATACCAGTAAACTTTCCATTTTTCCCTGTTGCACGCAAGAGTAGTCTAGTAGGTTCTGCTCGCTCTAGGGTCTCGTCGAGCATCATATTTTTCTTCTGGGCCTTTCGTGAAAGAGCCTGACCATAGGGTCGGTGGTCTTCCTGCGGTACGTTTAACATTCCGCGGAATCCAGTCACTAACGGTTCTTGTTCATCGGTTATCATTCATACGCATTACGTGTCCGGCCCACCTTATCTTCGACGGTTCCACGCATTGAACGGCATCTACGTTTTTTGATCGTTGACGCAGGTTGCAGCTTCGGATCCCTTCCTTTGCTTGCGTGACACGGAGTACTCCTAGCACCGTCCATACTGAGTAATCTTTTATCCTGTTTACCAAGTTACCAGGTTTTTAATCAATACGCTAAGGCAGGAAGTACTGCTGAGTCGAAAAGGTGGGCACGGAGTCGAGCGTTCTTTGTTCTCTCCACTACATCCTCGATGCTCTTGAAAGCCCCCGAAACCGCTCGTTTCCTTCTGCTCAACTCTGGAGCTAAGTCGTTCAACATGTTGATTTCCCGACCTAGATAGAAATAACTGGAGCATTCGGAGATATTCGTTCCGTTGAGCGTGAATGGGTTATACGAAACCGAGCCCTTCCCCACGAACATCGTTTTTGTGAGATTTAGTCGAAAACCAATCATTCAACAGGCTTTATGAAGTCGGCAAGCACTCATTCCGCTTAGTTAATGTTTGGTGTTATAAGGCCGATGTCATCAACAAAGCGAAGGTGGTGTAATTATCCACCATCAGTTTTCATCCCCATGTCATTCCGTTCTAGTGTTCGATGACGTTCTCGAGAGTGAAGGTAAATAAACGTGGATAGATGGTATGGAGACCTTTCCTAATCCCTCTTTTGACGTTGATGTTAATATCGTTGTAGAATGGTTATATCTTGGTTGTGAAATTTTTGTACAGCTCACGAAAAATGTTTAGATATTGAGTAGGGACTCCTTGACTACCAGTAACTTCCTTGACTGCTTCTATCTCAATTGAGTCAAAGGCCTTCTTTAAATCGGTGAAAGGGAGACAGCGGCTTTTTGTACTCTCGCGATACTTCATTGCCTTCTTTTCGTGTGAATGTGGTCCATCGTACTAAATCTTCTTTGAAACTCTGCTTGCTCACATAGCTGTCCTTCGTCTAGTGTTTTGTCAATCCTGTTTAGGATGACTTGAGTGAAAATTATGTAGACGGCGGACAGCAAGCAGACTGCGTGATAGCTGCTGATATCGTGGAGGTCACCTTTCTTGAACAATCGCACGGTTTTGTGGGTCTTCCACTGAGTTGGGACCTTGCATTCAGGAGTATGAAGAGCCGAGCCAGTGTGCTTACGAGGGCCGGCGGAAGGTTAGCCAAGTGTTCACATCTTATCCTCTCCAGATCTGGTACTCTTCGATTTTTCACCGACGAAATGGCGTATTGGATTTCGGAAGGGAAAACTGGAGCTACGATATGTCCATCCTCCTTTATTTCATATGAGAGAATGATGACGTAGCTATTGAAGGGATCTCAGTAGTATTCGTGATGTTCTTCATTGCCTTTCTACACGTTGCAACTGTTCCGTCTGGGCAACGGACTGAATCATCTTCGTGGTTTAGTAATTGCCAAAGCTTCGTTGGTATTTTGCAAATGCTTCTCCCACCCTCTACAGCTTCGACTATGATGCTCCTCCCTCTTTAAGATCTTCTTTTATCGCTTGTCCGCATTGTTTTGCAAGTTCGGACGTCAGTTTGTGGTTGGCTGCTTCTCAAGCGATTCCAAACTGGCGTATCAGCTCGAGTGTTTCTGGAGACAAACGTCGCTGACTTTCGAACTCAGCTTTCATAACGCTAACGCGAAGATGTTGAATGAGCCGATCGTATTTCTCGTCGATGTTATCGACAACATCTTCCAGCAGCTGACTAGCGGCTTTGTCTCCTTTCCGCGAGAAATGGAATCCTGCACAAAGCAGAAGGTTGTCTGATCATGTATGGAGTTTTGGGACAACAGCGACATCGGTAAGGCAGAACCTTCGATTTCCTTTGGTGTGGTCTACTTCGTTATGGTACCCTTCATTGGGAGACTTCCACGTGTTTCCTTGATGGTGGCGCTTCTGGAATTGCAAGTTGCTATTTGGTTTTGGTCCTCATTATAAACTCAGACGGCCGCTTACCCTGACCATTCCGTTCCAATCCGTGGGTCCCAGTGTGACGTCCTCCAGACGTTCTTCTAGGTCCAACCCTGGAGTTAAAATCTCCAATGATGACCTTGAAGAATGTATGGTCTTCTCTGTAGAACTCCTCCAGGAACATACAGAACGCTTCAACTACTTCTTCACAGTTTGATGTTGTTGCGTACAAGACGAAGATTGTCCCAGCCGGTATTGATCCACATCTTTTTAATCCTAGACATCCGTTTTGGGTTGTTAGTTGTTCGAATGAATCGATGTTCATGGACAAACTTGTGTTGACGAGAACGCCGACGCCGGCGAATACTCTATTGTCGCATATTCCGTGGAACAGTTCTTCTCCGGTGTCATAGACGGCGTTGAATGTGTGGCGTCGTCTCGTCTGGCCCAGGCCGGTGACCTCGTACCTTATCCTTCTTTCTTGCATAGTCAGGTATTTTATGGAGGACTCAGATGCAAGTGTGCGTGCGTTGTAGGTACAAATCGTCACCTTATCTCTTCGCGATTTAGGCGGTTCAGAATGGCTCTGCGATTTCGGCGGCCTCTCCGTACTCATCCTACCCAACGCTATGAGGCCCGCTTCTTTTATTGTTTTTATAGCTTTTGGTACCAATGTGTAGCTTGCTGGGTTGTAAACGTGTGGCTGGGTATACTCACGGTGGTTTGCCACTCTCTCCCAAAGTGAACATGGAGCTCATTTGTTGGAGTCGACTCCAACCTCCTCTCAAATACTGCCATGTCACTTGATTGCAGGTTTTTGACCGAATTGACTCGTGGAATAAAATCCGCATAAACTATAACGCATCTACACACGCATTCATCAACACGCTTCGTAAAGATTAACATCTTATAAAGCATCCGGGGACGCGCCACACAGACCCGCAACTCACCGGCTCGAGACCCCGCATATAGGTGAGATCCGCGGATGAGGGGACACTTTCCCCGTACAATTTTCAGAGTCACAAACAAGCTTTAACGGAGAAGAAGGAGCTGACAAGCGTAATTCGCCGCTGTGATGGCATGGTCACTATTTAATACGCAGGGTTGGTCAAAACTGCTTCTCTTTTTCAGTGTTTCTACAGAAATACATTATCTTTTGAAATAAAACCTTCAGATCCTTTGACCACTCGCGCATCATGATTTCAATGCGCATTCCGATTGCGCTCCAATGGCATGCAGGACTGACGAGCTGGCACACGAAAATGCGTGCTCTCGTGAAAGGGTTAAATACAATTTGCAACGATCATACAATAAGATTGCTGAGATATTTGCAAAACTGCGGACTGCAGGTGTTTGCAGTGAGGAACGAACGCGCTATTGTCATTTCTAGGGAGTAACGGGTTCATCACCACATCATGCGGTTCCTTCGTTTCGCCTGTCTCCCAGTTAGTTCTATCGATCCTTTGCCATCAGCAATCACCCGTCAACGGGATTGATCTGGGTAGCCCAAATCGGCATTATACCCAGTTGAGCTAAGGCTATAGTAGCTGAGAGACAGGCGAAACGAAGGACCTGCATGGTGTGGTGGTGAACGCGTTACTCCCTGGAAAGGACAGTAGCGCGTTCGTTCCCCACCGCAGACACCTGCGGTCCGAAATTTTGCAAATATCTCAGCAATCTTGTGGCTGTATTTCGCTTAATACCCTGCCATAAAAATTATAGAAGGCAGAAAATAAGAAGTAAATATTGGTCATGCAATATTTATTCGGTATTTTTGGTATTTCTTGCTTACTTTCGCGCTAGTATCCCTGTAAGTGGCTGAGGAATAGCTTGTGCGCTCTAACTCCAAACTAGCGCATTGGTAGAACAGGAACGAAGCTGCTGTTTGCCAGCACTGCGTTTTTCGCATCCAATCTGTTGTTAGTTTTGGGTCAGAGTCAGGGTTAGGGGTTTTTTGGGAGTATGGTCCGTGTCATTACCTTCTTTGTTCCGTGTTTCGAGGTTAAAGTCTTAATTAGCGGGATCCGTCTCGCTTAAACCAAAGGTGCCACTAGGTTCGATGTAGGTCGTAGTTCTATTGTTTGAAAATTTTCGATGATCTGTGTTTTCGAAGTTGTTGTAGGTTAACACCTTGAGGTGTGGAGATATCTTCTACAGCGAAACAGTCTGATGAAACGGTTGGCGAGGGTACCACCGAAATACGCTTCCATAAAGGTAATAGTCTCCTTTGTAGTATTCCTTCTTCATTAGTAAGAGTAGATGATTGCATTTTACTGGTAGTATTGCTATTAGTACTGCAGAAAGTCAAGGCTTTTTAGCTAAGCTTTTATTTGGCCTTAGACATGTTGCAAATTGGGTATGAAGCCCTTTTGGTTTTCTGAGACCGTTCTTCAGTAGAACTATAGAACAAGCGTAGAAGAATGTGAACTGCCTCTGCATTGGATACAGAAATAATGCCTCTGAAGTTTCTAAGGTTGACGTTGAAAGGTGTTTGTTTTGCGATGCAGCGTTTTACCTAAATATAAACGTCTAAAACAAGCAATTTTTGGAGCTCTCGTAGTGGCTTTGTGAAAGCACTTGGTTTCAGGATGAAGTTAAGCTTTTTTCCAGTCTGAAACGCTGTTGAGTTGTTCATTTGTTTCAAGAGGTAACGATGTGGCCATTCTACCAGTTAATCAACTACAACCCCCGGAGGTAGTATAGGCGTGTGTGACGCAGTGATCGGAGGCGCCCTGCAACGCACGCGTGGAATCGATCCCCGCGCCCCCATGGCCCACCAAGCCTTCCATCCCTCCTGGGTCGGCAAATTGGTACCAGACTTGTCTGGGAGATAGTAGCACTGGCTCGATACATCGGTAGGCCACCACGAGTTAATGAATAGGCCAAATATGCATCCACTTACCTCCTTCGATGCTTAATGAGGTCGAATTCATGGCGTATCTCTAAGGGATTGATCAACACCGAGAGTTGATATATTGATTTATGTGATCTCATAAACTGATCTTCCTAAGCTGACGCGAAGTTGGTACAGATCTTCGTTGTCGTTGTCGTTGTCGTTGTTTTTGATGTTATTGATCGTTGGCTGACATTTCGGCGACTTCGCCTTCCTCAGAACCTGGACGTACTTTATGTTAGAATACTTTTTATTATTCGGTGGAAAAGAAGGTTAGAGTATTAATGAAGATCAAACTTTCAAATAGACGCCATATTGAACAGAAAGGCCACTCACCGTGATGTTATCGATCAATAACATCAAAAACAACGACAACGAAGATCTGTACCAACCTCGCGTCAGCTCAAGAAGATCAGTTTATAAGATCACATAAATAAAAATATCCAAGTAAAGTTGAAATAATAGAAAAAATTCTGGAGTAGAGGCTTCAATAGAGGCAGCATCGTCTTGTCAGTGGTTGTTGTAGTAGCAGTTCATTGGCTGATCGGGTGAATTTGTGAAGTGACGACTAAGATTTCCCTATTCTTTAGGGTTTGAGTCACAAAATTGTGACGCACTACTGACATTGGAAGCCTCTGTTGTTACTGGAACATCAGCAACAACAGATTGAAGCAAGGGACGAAATCGAAGACACGAGCGAAATGGGTTATTGCTTTTTTCGTACAATTTATTTGGATCTATGTTTTGCTGGTTCAAGGAATCAACGTAGTCATTGGTTAATCGCTACCTAGGTTTCCATTAATACTTTCAGCTATACACATCGTTTATCTAGGTCCAAAAAACGCGAAACAACTACAACTGTACGGACCATGCTCGCTCAGAAACCTGTCCGCGTTCCGAAGCCGCTCAAGAGGCCAAGGTACCACCTTTCAGTCCTTTATTCTTATTTTCACAGGATGGGCTTTTGTTTTTGCATAATGGTTGCTTTATAGGCCCAGATTCACTCACGGGAAAACGAACTTGAAGACGACGATTCTAGCTAAATCTTAAGGGATTTGAATACTACGCACACTTTTTGATAAGTATTTTTCTTCAAATCGTCTAGTATCTCGCTGTTAACCTATTGTTGTTGGTCTGTTTTGTGCATATGCTGCGCTCACTTTACAGGAAGGTATAAAGTGTTGAATAGAATGATCAGTTTTTCCGAAATCTGTCAGGTTTTCTGATGTCTTGAGAATATTTCATAGGTTTCTATAATCCCTAATGAGTACTCGTTCACATGAACGCTGTGATTTGCTGTTAAAAGTTCTCCGTTTCGGTTAATTTCTCTATTTTTAATTTAAGATGTCGACCGGAACACGAGAAGAGCAACGGGCTGAATTAGAAGCTTTGCGTAGTATTTATGATGAGTCTCACGTGATGTTCAATGATGGAATTTGTCTAAATGGAAAAGTGGTGGTCGAAATGGAGCCGCTCACGAAGCCTCTTACTGTCTACGTTACAACTGAAAAAGTTGAGTTATTTTATCATGTGCTCTCAGGTGCCTTCTCTATCTATTGTTGTAAGTGTCATTTCTACAATAATGGCGAGTTCATTAGAATTAAGTTCAGTCGTTGGCTATGTCACTGATTTAAGCCGTACTCGACATATGTTTATATTGTTGAGCTTACGTGAGGTTGATAAATACATTTTTTCGGTTAACGTTTCAGTGTCTTCGTCTTTATCAGAGTCAATGATTCGAATTGGAGGCTCTTTATCAGACCTGGATCATCGGCTTTGATGAAAAGCCACCGACTCCCATAATCGGCTCTGATGAAGACGACTACGTCGGAACGTTTGCAGATCAAATGTGTTTATCAACGTCGTGTAAGCTGAACAATTTAAATACATGTTGATTATTTTGATATCGAGGTTAGATGACGGTTGTTTTAAACATTAAACTATACAACTACACTATGATTTCAACTACAGCCATAGCTTAGCTGGGTTCTTTGCCGATTTGCGCTCCCCAGATCAACCCCGCTGACGGGTGATTGTTGTGGCAAAAAGATCGATAGAAATAGTTGAGAGAGGCGAAACGAAGGACCCGCATGGTGTGGTGGTGAACGCGTTACTCCCCGGAAAGGATAATAGCGCGTTCGTTCCCTACCATAGACACCTGCGGTCCAGAGTTTTGCAAATATCTCAGCAACGTTGTGGTTAAACTATACAGTGTTTAGTTTTTGGATCCCACTTCGTGTACTGTTTGATTCATTTCAGGGCGGGAATCAGTTGTCTTAACGAACTTGCCACCTGTTCTTCTCATGTTTCACCTACCTCCAGATTATCCACTGGTGCGACCTGAACTAGAACTGGAATGTGAATGGATGAATGAAGAGTTGGTGAGCGTGTCTCCTTTAAGTGCTAAGAGTAGAACTAGAAGAAGTGCTAATGGATCGTGCATTGCCTATACAAAGTTCATTGCAAATTTCTAAATGTGCTTCCGTTGTTCATATCACTGCTTTCAGATATCGACGATAAAAGTCAAACTTGAAGAAGTCTGTAATGAAAATCTTGGCATGGGCGTCCTATTTTTTTGCTATGAAGCAATTGCCGATGTTGTTAAGAGCAGTTTTTCTGAATTAACAGAACTTTGCATTGATGACACCCCTTATGGTGTTAGAAATGTAAGTTAGTTAAGGAGTTATTGAGGCAGTTGAACGACGAAACTTGCTTGAGCTTCCTCAATATGCTACATCGTTATTCCAGAACATGGAACGTATTGAATTATTGCGACGTGTAGATGATTCTGGTTCCCGCTCTGCAGATTGTCATTTTAAATCCGTTTGTCATGATTGTGAGGTTAGTGAGGTATGGAACCCTTCATGAGAAGGCAAACTCTACGTTTCCGTTTAGGTCTGCTTCCAGTGTAAGCCAGGGACGCAGTGTTTGCTGTTTAGACCGTGTCAGCACGTATTTTGTAAGGAATGCGTTACTACCTTCTTTTTCGAGATTCTTAATAACCAAGAGGTATGGGATTTTCATGATATTTTCTTTTATCCTTATAGAATAATGCCTATTTTGAGATTCGACCTCTCGGTTGCTTAGCCCTGGAATGCAGTTCTCTGGCTTCCGAGCAGGCTATTCAAAGTATTATTGGGGAGGTATGCTCAATATGCCTAATGCGTTGTTGAATCGTTTTTCATTTGCTGCTTCGTATTGAATATGTCTCCTTAAGAAAGAATTCGAGCGATATGAACGGATACTTCTGGAACAAGCACTAGCAGTTATGGATGATGTCGTTCCTTGCCCGCGTAAAATATGCCAGAATCCAGTGTTTGTAAGTGAAAGGTAGTTGTTCACAAGGGTATAAAACTCTGATTATCATTTGTTTTTAAATTATCTTCGATTTCTTTGTCCTGTATGCTCTAGCCTGTTTTCCATAGAACTCAGAATTTGGCAAGTTGCGGAATGTGTGGTTTTTCCTTCTGTGTTCTGTGCTACCGTGCGTATCACGGATTAAATGAGTGCCATTTCAAAGACGGTAATTCTACGACACAGTGATCTCATAACATGTTTCTATTTTTCTATCCACTACTTTTTGTTTTTGTTAGACTTTTGTTTTAGATTACATGTTACTGTTGCAGTTGATAAAGAAAGTTTGGTTATGAAATGGGATTCAGCTGACGAAGAAAAACGCATACAAATGGGTCAACGATTCGGTGGACTGGAGAATTTGCAGGTATTATTTCAGTATGATCTCGGAATGGTTCAGCTCTGTGTGCCTGAGTTAAGAAATCACCATGATAAACGACTCAGGCTTATAACAGAGTTGTAAAGATGAAAAACTGTAGCTTGCAGGAGCATCGAGGATGTTACAAAGAGGGCAAAAAAACCTTTCGTCGTTATCTTCTTGCCTTAATGTATGCTCGGAAACCTGAACACTAAGTAGTCGGTAAAAAGCCGCTGTTTCCGAATGCCCGCGAACGCAAACGCTCTGCACCTGAGCCAATGGGGCTTCCGTTGTGCTCTTCACTATTATTTCAGAAATAAATGAGGTACAAGCAACTCTTCCTATGTGAAACGTGATGGTCTAACAGGTTTATGTCGAGTTCACCATTGCAAAAGCTTGCCTTATGCTGGAATCGAACCAACTACTTTCTCTTTACTAGACAGACGCTCTTCGCCCTGAGCCAATGAGGTTTCCGTAGCGCTTTTCACTATTGCTCCAGAAATACATGGGTACAAAGCAACTCTCCTTATGTGAAACTTGATGGTCTAACAGGTTTATGTCGCTTCCACCAATGCAAAGACGTCTCATGTTGGAATCGAACCAGCGAACTTCTGTTTACTAGACACGCTCTATCCCTGACCCAATGAGGCTTCGGTAACCATTTTCACTATCATTGCTGTAATAAATTGGAAACAGACAACTCTTCTTATGCGAAACGTGATAGTCTAACAGTTTGAATTAGTGATGGTTAATGCAAAACTGTTACTTCATGCTGAAATCAAACCAGAGACCTTCTGTTTACAACACACACGTTCTGCCCCTGAGCCAAAGCCTCCAGAAGTCTGGTAGCGCGTTCGTTTCCCACCACAGACACCTGTGGTTCAGAGTTTTGCAAATATCTCAGCATCATTGTGGTTGTATCACACATAATGCCCTGCCGTGAAGAATTCTAATAGGTCGTAATTGAGAAATTAACATTAAATAAAATGATTTCAACAAAAAATTCCGAGACGACATAATGCAGGTTAAGCGTTCACCGGAATGTTTGCAAAGTTCTTTCACAGGTTTTCTTTTAATTCTTTTTTTAATTATCATAACTTGCATTCCATGTTAGAAAGTTATCGATACAATACTGAGTGAGGGATGGATTAATGGCAACAGCAAACCGTGTCCCCGATGTCGCATCCGAATTGAGGTTTGCACCCTTGGAGCTTTACTTACTTCTGAAATAGTTTTTTTCTTCTAGTAATTTTTTTTAGAAAGCTGGTGGGTGTAATAAAATGCAGTGCTCCAAATGTGATGCTATGTTTTGTTGGTTGTGTTACCGCGTACTTGATAAGGACGACCCATATCTTCATTATAGGATGGAGGACGTAAGATCGTTATCAACTTTTACGTTATTATAGTGCCATACTTTCTGAGCTATGTCAGACCAGTTACAAACTTATTCTTATGAATTGCTTAGTTATAGTACGGCCAGTTCATAAACCTGATTCCATAATCCTAAGATTTGGGCGAGTGTGACGCAGTGGTTGGGGGCACCCTGCAATATACACGGGATCGATTCCCTCGTCCCTGGTCCAGTAAGCCCTCCATCCATCTGGGGTTGGCAATTTGGTAACGGACTTGTCTGGGGGGATATTAGCATTGGTTCTACACATCGGTAGGCCACGGCGAGTCATTGTAAAGGCAGGATATGCATTCAATCACCTCCAAACGATTCTTAATGAAGTTGGATGCATGGCGCATCCTTAAGGGATTCGTCAACGCCAAGAGCTTTTTCCTTTGTCCTTTTTGTCCTGTACCTTAATGCCAGTTTCCAAATGGTCCCTTTATCTTTGATTTACTGTTAAAATCTTCTACTCGTTGGTTTTTCCATGTGCTTATAAAAAATGCATCAAGATGTAGAATTGTGAGCAACGCAGCCGCCACTCTTGGGCAAGATCATTTGTTTTGTGAATGGAAGTTATTTACTCGGCAAGCGACCTCCGTTGCATCAGTAGTTCGCAACAGCAAGCTTTGTTCCATGTCTTGTATGTTTAAACCTTTTTTAGAGATAACCTTTATATAAGGACCCTGATGAGTACTTGTCGGAACAGATAATTCCTAGCTCAGTAATATGAGGATTTCAGAGAAATATGGTGATACCTAAATGTGTAAACGTTTAGAGCGATTGTGCCAACCGCTTGTTCGAAGGAATGACTACATCTGAAGATGAAGACGATGAGAACTTCGCGGTTGATAGGGAGAATGCCATTGAAGACGGAAACGAAAGTGATGACAACGTGGAAATTCCCTTGATTCGCAGTGGTAGTGAGGCGTCGAACTGAGTGGCCTGTGCTCTAGTCCTTCCTCATTTGTTTAAACAATATTGGTTTTGACTTTCACACCGGTCGCAATAGTTCCTCATAGTCTTTCCTTATAGTCTCAAATTTCCAAGACGTTTATCAGTGTAGTTTCCCTATGTACAAATTTTCCGGAATTTGTTCTAATATCACGAACAAATCGTTTTGTTATCCATCTGTTTGGAATTGAATTTTTGTTGCAGTTTTAAAGTGTCTGTAAAATCTAGCAAATATGGGAATGTGGACCTTTAGAACTTTCCGCTTTGCCTTGATTGTTACATTTCCAGTATCTCTAAAAAAGGATGAATTTCTCGGCCCTGATCAATCCGTGAGGGATGTGCCATGCATTCGACTTCATTAAGCATCGTTAGAGGTGATTCAATGTGTATCTGACCACAATGACTCGCGGTGGTCTACCGATGTATCGAACCAGTGCTGCTATCCTACCAGACAAGTCTCGTACCAATGTGCCGACCCTCCAGAGATGGAAGGCTTGGTGAGCCACGGGCACGGGGTCGTTCCCATGTATGTGTCGCAGGGCGCCTCCGACCACTGCGCCACAAGCGCTCTAGTTGTCCCTAATGGTGTTTTTTGTATGTGATATATGTGTCTTTTTATTGATTTGAAACTAGAACGATTGTATTACATTTGGATAAAAGGCTACAAATCTCCTTATAGTCATGAAGTTGATGCAGCTATTGCTCAGTTCACAGAGCAGCATCTCCATTAAAGAGTGAAGAAGTGTGAGGCGTTTCTACGGGAGCAAATGGCCTCTAAAGGAGCTGGTCGACCAGGAGGAAACCTATGTTGGGTAACTATTTATAAAAGTTCTGAATTATAATCACAATGCTGCTGAGATATTTGCAGAACTCCAGACTGCTGGTGTCTGCGGTGAGGAACGAGCGCGCTATTGTCCTTTCAGGGGGTAACGCGTTCACCACCACAGTATGCGAGTCCTTCGTTTCTCCTTTCACCCTGAATTTCTCAGTTCTAAAATAGTTTGCATAATACTACTGAATATTCGCGATTCTAATGTTTTGTTAAATCAACTGTAGTGAACTGGTCATCCACTGCTGAAGACTTCTCCAGTGTTCTTCAAATTCTTTTACAAGGATTTTAATTTGCTTTAGAATTTTTCCATTTTACGAAGGCGCTCTTCAAAAGGTGAGATTTCACAGTGTAGTGTCGTCCTGTACCGCTTTATCTCATAATTTCTGAAAAACTATTAGTTATATCGTAACCAGTAAGGGCGCGCGTAGCGCAATGGATGGAGGCGCCCTGCAATACACATCGGGTCGACTCCGGCGCCTCTGGACCACCAAGTCCTCCATCTCTCCGGAGTTGGCAAATTGGTAACGGACTTGTCTGGGAGGATATTAGCACTGGCTCGACACATCGGTAGGCCACCGCGAGTCATTGTAAAGGCAGGATATGCATTCAATCACCTCCAAACGATGCTTAATGCAGTCGAATGCATGGCGCATTCCTCAGAGTGTGATCAACTCTTGGAGCATTGTGCTTTTTTATTATATATCAGATTTCAATAAAGTGTGAAATAAAAACGCTCAGTACCTTATTCACCATAACTTTCCATTATGGTCGTTTTTGGCTTTTTCTATTAAATACAACAACAATGCGTAACAATATTAGGACAGCTGTTTCGAGTGAATTTTAGCGGTCTTTGGTATTTCTTCATCGTTTTCACCATGAATATGTAACTCGTTTCAAAACAGTGCTTCGGTTCTAAGCAAGAAATTTCTCGTAATAGAAATTCAGGAGTGATCTACTAATGGAAAGATACCATAAATTAAGTTTACTATGAAGATTTTGCCAACGTCTTTAACTTAAAAAGGATTTCAGCGCCATAAACTTTTTCAATCAACCAGGATTTTCCGAACGTCGCATTGCGTCCGAAAGCGTCCACCAGAACTTGGAATTTTTGCCAAAGTTACGTTTTCTGGCCCAGAAATTTGCTGATCTTTCGATAATAACTTTAGCCGAGGAACCGTCTTATTCCTTATGAGGCGGGATGTTTGTACCAGACTTGCCTGAGACAGCCTCAATTCCTCTAATCCATGCGCTAACGACCCATCATGATCATCTCATGACTCCGGGAAGAATGAAGATGACCAGCATTCAACGACGTTCGCGACGAAGATTACGAAATTCTGAAGAAGCTACGGAAGCTAAACGCGAAAAGTTGAAAGACCTTTGTTGATACTAGACACGAGGAAGTCGAATACAAGAAGTGCTGAGATCCTCTTAGTGTTATACATACGTAACAATACAGATGAATAGTAAATGGGTTGGGAGTTTAGATGTTTTGTATATTGTAGAGTGTTTTTGGAACAAGTACACCTCGCCATAACATTCGTGTTGTGAACATCCACTATGGGTACAAACACTGTCTTCACAGTCGTCAATTAATTTCACCTGGACACGATTTCAGGCTTTAAGGCAATTGTAAAGCGATTTCCTTGCTGCTTTTGCTGATGTAATCTTATAGGGGCCTACAAAAAATCCGAATTATTCTGTTGCCCCATATAGCTCTCAAATCACGCTTGGCGTTTTCGAGAGTTGGAATTTAGTCCCTTCTACATGCCTCTAATCCTCAATACAATAGTGTCTATTTTACTCCCACTAGTTTTGGTTAATCGCAGCCACATAGCTGTGTAGTTCGAGTTGGTTCAAAGTGTCGTTACACTAAGGTGAAGCATGATGTCGACAGCATGGGAGATGCTAATCAGCAACTTGTGGATTATGGAGATCTTCAAAAACAGCTATATAACGCTTATCTGCTTACAGCTTATCTACTGACTTTAGAAATTGAGAACGTGATGGGTGTTTGTAGATGTTTTGCACTATCATCTAGAGGTGTAAATGACTTTGACAATATTCTTTCAGCTTAAAATTTGAGGAACGTTCCCATATATTTAGCTACGTGGTCGTCTGTTGTTGGACGCATTCGCTGCTCAGCGGCCACTTCAGTATACGCAGCAGGAACCCTCAGGAGAAAAGGTTATTTGATGGGTTCGAAAAATCAGAATTTCATTGCTATGATGTAAGAGAAAGTACATGCGTTGTTGAAAATGTGTACAATCAAATGATCCTTAGGTTTGTGAAGTGCGTTACGAGTTAAAATGTCTTTGCTTAAAGCCGAAAATCTCAACTTTCCGGGAATGTTCCATTGGAATCTATTCATGCTAGTTGCTATGTCTGTTGCAATATGTTATTATAAGGGGCGTTAAACCACAGAGGTGTTGTTATACTCGCGTCAAATTCATTATACGTTCATTTCAGAAGGCACGCGCGTAAATAGTTATATTGGGGCAAAAAATTTCTTGTATAACCGATTTGAGAAGTGAAGGCGCGTGACCAATTCGGGAGTCACGAAATCGGAAGAGTGGGTGGTAGAAGTGGTTAATAGGTTAGCACGTGGCCGAGTTTGTGATAATGAGAAGACTGCCGACGTTGATGGGCCACTCGTCCTGACATAAAATGATCCCTAGATGAAAACTCTGTTTAAAAAAAAAACGCCGAAAATGTACTCAACAGAGCAGGAATTGTAAAAGAAAACATAAATGTGAAAATTTTGATGCTAAAGTTACGATCTTGGCAGGGAACCCTAAAATATCATCTTGCAAGGCTATGGATACAACCACAACGTTGCTGAGATATTTGCAAAACTCTGGACCGCAGGTGTCTATGGGGGGGAACGAACGCGCTATTATCCTTTCCGGGGAGTAACGCGTTCACCACCACACCATGCGGGTCCTTCGTTTCGCCTGTCTCTCAGCTATTTCTATCGATCTTTTTGCCACAGCAATCACCCGTCAGCGGGGTTGATCTGGGGAGCGCAAATCGGCATAGAACCCAGTTAAGCTATGGCTGTAGTTGAAATCACAATGTTTAACGTTTTGTTTCCTGCCTTCTATAATTTTCATGGCAGGTTACTAAGCGAAATACGACCACAACGTTGCTGAAATATTTGCAAATATTTTAATAATTGTATTTCGCTTAGTAACCTGCCATGAAAATTATAGAAGGCAGAAAACAAAGCGTTAAACTCTATGGATACACTTTACACCAAATCGGTAATCCTAAAACTGAAAGGAAAAGATGCTTGCTTCATACTCATTCGCGGTTTACCGCGGTTACTTCGAATAGGTTGTTTCAACTCCAGATAAATTTAGTCATTTTTTATTACTCTGTTTTTAGAAGTCAAAGAGATCAAACTCGATGGTTCTGCGATTACAGAGACCACTTCGTATGTGTAACTTGTGCGTTGAACAAACAAGGAAAATGACATGAAGGAGGGCTTAGAGGAAGTCGAGAAGCTTGGGTGGCATTCGAGCCTCTCAAAAGAGTCACCGATCAACTAAAAGACCCGAAAATCAGCTCTCACCTTTTCGATTAAACAGTCGTTCCAGTGCTCTGCCATGCACTGAAGACGTGAGTTGATACCTCAACAATGCTAAAATCACTAACCATTACTCACAGAGCGTTTAAGATCTCTTCTGTAATGTAACGCACATCGATAACGAAACATATATGGGCATATGGGCCTGTCATACAATGAGTGTAGCAGACGACAGATTGAAGAAAAGGGCTGTATAGCGGACTCCACGGTAATACAAACGTTTCTTGCACGACCACGCACACATTGTGCGGTCGTGTTCTTAATTAAAGTTGATCAGCTGTACTCGCAGGTGCAGTTGTTTCACAGGTTTGTTTACCGCCTATTATTTTTCAATGGCAGGGTATGCTGTGAAATTTAACCACAATGATGCTGAAATCTTTGCAAAACTCTGGACTACAGGTGTCTGTTGTGGACAGAGGGTGCCGAACGCTCTATTACGCCTACCAGGGTTAACGCGTTCACCACTACACCATGCGGATCCTATTGTATTCATACTACAGTTTCAGCTTAACTAGGCTCAATGGCGATTTGTGCACCCCAGAACAATCCCGTTGACGGATGAATG